TGACCAGACAATGAATGTTCAACATAGTTTGAGTGGCTGTGTAAGCCTTCTCATCTGTGCTACTGATGACAGTTGTCCTCCCCTATTCAAGATGACCTGACCCACGAATCCTCTCACAATGCTTCCATTCAACCTCGTTTTCCCCTCTTGCCATGAGAGTTTTGGAGAGATTTTGACAAGCCCCCATATGAAGTCCAGAGCCTTGACACTGGCAGCTTCAGCTCACCATCCAGGCCAGAGCCCTTGCCCGGTAAAGGACCCAGATCTTGCTGACACATTCCTGGCCAGTCCATGCCAGTGCCTAGAGATCACATTTCCTTTCTTAAGACCATTCCAACCCTCCATCTCCACTGATACCATCCCCTTCCCCTTCCCCACCAGGTCCACGCAGCTCTGACCACTCTCCAGCCCTGTGGATAAGGCTAGGAGCACACACCAAACAACCTGGGGGCTTCCCAAGGGCAGGCCCAGGTCCCCTTCCTATTCTGTAAGATCCCATCAATCTGAGAGGTCACTCCAGCGATGACCACCAGATACCTGGGCCTAGAGAAGAAAGTAGTAGAGAATATTGACCAAGTGACCTGTGGCTGTCACCTCTCTGGGCCTTTGCTATCAGGACAGACACACGGACTTATAGCCAGAGTAGAAGGTGGTGAGGGCAGGGCTCAGCCCCTGCCTACTGGAAACAGAGTCCCACCTCAGGGTCAGGGCTGAACTGAGCAGGTGTCCTGCAATCCTGGTGAATATTCAGCGGGCTGTGTCCCCTTGGCTACCTCCTGCCTATGCAAACAGCCACCTGAGAAAGGGAAGCAGAGGGTGCGGTGGCAGCGGCTGTTTCAGGGGACAGCAAGGGAGGGAAGACACCCAAGGCTTACTGAGGCTGATGGAGGGAGCCACTGCTGGACTCACCATGGACCGCCGGATGTGGGGGGCCCACGTCCTCTGCGTGTTGAGCCCGTTACCGACCGTGAGTAGCCAGTTCAGACCCTCCTGCCTCTCCCACTGGGCTCCAGATTTGGGAGCCACAGGGCCAACTGGAGCCTGGTGGAGACCCTACTGCCCTTCGACTCTAGAGTCCCTCCCAATGAACAGGTGCCAGGTTGTGGCTTGGAGAGCTCCTGATACCAGGGCCCCCTCCCTCATCTCCCTCTGCCTGGCGGTCTGTAGTGACTCTGGGTAGCGCTATTAACATGTCCTTCTTGGGGCTGAGCTGAGCTCACCTTCCTGTTGCTTCCCCCAGGGCCTGGCTGTGCCCTCTGGGGGCCACAGAGACTGTCTGCCCCAAGACAGTGCCTCAGAATTGGGAAGGCAAAGTCAGGACCCCGTCTTAGTCCCCCCAGTCGGCTCTTTCTCTTGGCTGTGCATCTGTGATGCTTCCACACGCTCCTGTGGTAAGATTTCCAGACCCCTTCTTAGCCCCATGGCTCCCTGAGCCACTCTCCAATTTGGCGGTTTCCTTCGAAGAGGGTGTGGCCAGGGAAGGAGTGGAACCTGAGGAGTTGGTGGAGACCAGCTGCTTCTGCTCCAGCAGTTAGAGGATCCATCATCCTCTCATGATGCCGAGGGCTGGAGAGGCTTTTGACAACCAAATAGTACTCCATGGGCTAGAGAGCTGGAGCACGGGGATCAGGAGAGAGGGCCCTTCCTGAATGTGCTGCAGTTTCCCAGTAACTTTCCAGGTTACTGCAAGTGACAGCAGGGACCATACTGGAAGTCACAAGGTTCTGGTGGGGGCTGAAGCATTCTTCCTCCGCTGCCTTATTGGAGGGTGCTGCCCCTCCCGAGCACCTTGCTGCACCTGCTCTTGAGTGCACAGGCTTTGGGCTTGAATCCTGGACCCATGAAACTAGTCACGTGACCTGCAAGTTCCTCAGCCTTCCTGAGCCTTGCTTATCTCTTTTGTTAAAAGAGAAAATATCCTCTGGCCTGGATTGTTGTGCATTGAGTGGAATCTGATTTGTCAAGGGCTGGGCATCGGGGTGCAACACAGGAAACTTCGACTGCCCCCTGGCTGCCATCTGTGTGTGCTCTACAGCAAAAGATTAATTTTTAGCAGAGGGACCCAAGACCTGGTGGTGGCCATTCAGCAGATGGTGCCAGCACCAAAGCTAGAACTCAATCACTGTTTCCCAGTGTGGGCTCCATCCCCTGCTGACACCAGGAAGAGCAGCAGGCACAGATGCGAGGCCTGGAGGTCCAGGGCGATGGAGCCTCCCCTCGGGGGTGGGTGGGGCCCAGGATGTGTGTGGGGGTGACTGGGAGCCCCAGGATGTGTTTTGCCAGTCCTGATTCAGCAGGAGCATTTGGATAAATCTTGGAACAATCTGTCCTTCCACTCCCACCACTTCCCTCCCTAGAATGTCTCCTTACATCTGGCCCTGTGACCACACATCCTGAGTCATTAGTTGGGCTTCCCTGAATTTCCCTCCTTCTCTTAGAAGTGTGGGCACTCTCTGTCCATCCTTTTGGCAAGAGGCTGCTCACCTAGAGTCCTTTGCCCTCAGTGGTTCCCCCAGATTGGCCCTGAAAAGTTTCCCAGGCAGGGTTGGGGCTTGCCAGACTGTGCGGTAGGCGGAAGGATAGGCCGAGACCACAGCTCTTCCAACAGCCCAGGGTCAATGTCAGGTTGACAGTGTGAGAAAGTCCCATACAGGCCCGTCTGCCCTCCTGCTCTTCCTTCCCTGCTTCGTGCACTCAGTCTGTTGGGAGATGTGGGGGAGACGCAATGGGGCTCTGCCCTGAGATGGACCTGGGGTTAATGAGTCCTGGGGAGGAAGCCAAGAGCTGAGTCTGGGGCACCCACCAAAATCAGACCTGGAGCCTGGGTAATGGGTGACATCTGCACCCTGAGGCCCTGCAGCGCCAAGCAGGAGATGGCAGAGCTGCATCCAAGCCATGGACCCATGGGGTCAGCAGGGCGGGACAGGAGTGACTTCTGCCAGGGCAGCACTGGCGGGGGTGACCCTCCTTACTGGGCTGGGTCTCCAGATCTTCTCCTAGCCCGCAAGTCTGCGGCAGGGCCCTCAGGTCTCTCCATGTGGTCACCCACCGTCTATTGTCCCCATTCTGGTGGTCAAAGTCTCTACTCTCTGACCCAGCCCTGGTCTTACATCTGCTGCACTATTTGCTGTGCCTGCATTTCTCCTAAAGAACACTAGCTGTTAATTAAACCTTTGCTGACACGGATCCTGTTAGACATCAAGGGGGTGTGTGTGGCGGGGGGCGGGGGTGGGGTGGGGTGTGGGCCATGGGGAGAGAAACATTAGTCCTGAGCAGATACTTCCCCAATACACCTTTTCCCACTTCCCTTGTCCTTGCACATGCTGTTCCTTCTGTTCCAGACACTCTTCTCCCCACTGCGTGTGTCTGGCTCTAAAAAGTGCTCCTTTGTCCCCAGGTCCAGCTCAAATGCCACCTCCCCAATCCCTGTGAGAGGGACACTCCCTCCCATGGTACCTGTCTTGCTTCTTTTTGTTTGTTTTTCTGAGACGGAGTCTCACTTTATCGCCCACGCTGGAGTGCAGTGGCACGATCTCGGCTCACCGTAACCTCTGCCTCCTGGGTTCAAGCGATTCTTCCACCTCAGCCTCCCGAGTAGCTGGGATTACAGGAGCATGTCACCACGCCTGGCTAATTTTTGTATTTTTGTAGAGATGGTGTTTTGCCACGTTGGTCAGGCTGGTGTCTAACTCCTGACTTCAGGTGATCCGCCCACTTTGGCCTCCCAAAGTGCTGGAATTACAGGCATGAGCCACTGCGCCCGGCCCCTGTCCTGCTTCTGATCACAGCTTGCACAGGGTCTATTAGGATCCAGCCCTTCTCCCTTCCCCAGCCACTCCTCTCCTGTGGAAGCCTCGGGGAACAGACGTCTACACTGGTTGACTCGGATGTGTGTTTTATATAAAAATGTGTATGCTGTATACCCAGTTCACAGTGCAGAAAGTCTGTTTTGTAAACTTGGCTTCCCTTCTATGTAACTGTTTGGGCTCTGGCCTACTGGGCGAGCAGTTTTGGTTTTCCTCCAGTTTGGGGCGGTGGGAGGGAGAAGTGCTAGAAATTGCTGCTGTTCATTCCCAGTTCCCTGGAGAACTTGTTAAAATGCAAAGTGCTAGATCCACCCTAGATCTCTGCATATCCCTGCTTCCATCCCAGTGGATCTCTAGTTGATTCTTGATGCACACTTTCAGAAGCACTGCTAGAAGATTTCCAAAAAAACCCCAACTTGTTTCCAGCTTCCAGAGATCATTTCTCATGGCCACTGTGTAGCACGAGATCTGGGAAGCTCCTAAAACTATAGTCTTTCAGGGTTGCTCAGCTGTCAAGGCTATGATCCTTTCATCTACACATCCATGGACCCACACATCCATCCTTACACAGCTCTCTCACTCATCCACCACGCACCCATCCATGCAGCCAGTCATCTGTCCATCCATCCATCCGTCCATCCATCCATCCACCTCCCCAGCCATATATTTGTCTGTCTGTCTGTATACTCATCCATTCCACCAGCCAGCTGCCTAGGCAGTCACACCTACCTTCCTTTCTTCCTTCCTTCCTTCCTTCCTTCCTTCCTTCCTTCCTTGTATCTGAACATCCACCAAACTCACCTGAAAGTACTGCGAGCAGGTCTTTGCTCAGGATTAGGGCACAGAAGTGAATAAGGACTCGTCCCTGTTCTCAGGTCATGTGGACCACAGAGCCCAGAAAGGCACTCAATTGGCTTGGCTCATCCTGTTCACTGTTTCCAGCAGGTATTGGGCCACATGCACCCAGAATGTGACTTCATCACCCAGCTGAGAGAGGATGAGAGTGCCTGTCTACAAGCAGCAGAGGAGATGCCCAACGCCACCCTGGGTATGGGGCCTAGGAGGCAGGTGGCGGCTCCTCTGATTCCTTTGTGTCCTCTGGCATCACCCCTCAGATTACTGGGGCAGCCCTGTGGCTGGGCTGAGTCTCTGCTGCTCCCGGCTCTCTATCCAGGCTGCCCCAGGACCTGGGATGGGCTGCTGTGCTGGCCGACGGCAGGATCCGGCGAGTGGGTCACCCTCCCCTGCCCTGATTTCTTCTCTCACTTCAGCTCAGAGTCAGGTGAGGGGTCCTGGGTATGGCAGTGGGAAAGGGAGGTGCTTTCGTCTGGAAGTGGCAGAATCTGGCAGACACGTCGCTGGCTTTGGGGGCAGGCCGACCTGGGTTTGTATACCAACTTCCCCTCTTCTGGGGTGACCTCGGGCCCGTCAGTCAATCCTGACCTCTGCTTCCTGAGCTGTGAACTGGGGAGAACGAAAGCATTAACTGCGCAAGAAAGGATTAGAGTGCGGAACCTGTAAGTGCTGGACCTGGGTGCCCTCCAGTGTTAGCAGGAGGCTGGCTGCAAGGGTGGAGGAGGGCAGGCCTGCCTGTCTGCCAAGACACCACTAACTGCCCAGGATGGAGAGGGTGGGGCACCCCGCTGCTCTGCTTTACCTCCCTGGCCTGGGTGCCTGGACTGCGAGGGCCTCTTTTCTCCCCTGCTGCCTTTAGGAGGCTGGCAGCCCAGCTCACCACTCCCCACCCCTCAGGGGAGTAATCCTCTCTGTGCAGAGATGGCGCCCGGGAAGCCAGAGATGGAAGGCCCCATAGTGTGTCCCTGGGTAGGCTACACCTGGGCTCCAGGCCTCTGGAGCTGCCCTCTCTGTTGCTGAGAGGAACTGTCCATGCAAACCCTGCCAGGGTCACTTGATGGTCCATGGCACCCCCAGCCCCCTCCTGGGGAGAGGGAAGGGGTTGTGGCTAGAGAGTCTTGCTTGCCTCCCAGGGGCTGTGAAGCGGGACTGTACCATCACTGGCTGGTCTGAGCCCTTTCCACCTTACCCTGTGGCCTGCCCTGTGCCTCTGGAGCTGCTGGCTGAGGAGGTAAGAGGCTCCCGGCATCTTGGAGGAAGGACTGCCATGGACATTCGTATGGGTGGGTGCACAACGTCGGGGCCTCCATTCCCCAGCCTGCAGGTTGGAATATTCCTTACAGCGGTTTTCCAGCAGACAGCAGTGAAGCGTCTGGAGGAGAGGGGGTCTTCTGCTAAGTTACTCAAGGGTGACCCACGGGCCAAGTTACTTGGAAGGAGAAGCGGGGCAGAGGGCATGTGGGAGATCTGCTGCCTGCTATCTTGGTTCCGTGTCCAGGTCTCCAGGGCAGGGAGCTTAAAGTGGTTCCAGAGGCAACAAGGATCCTGGCAGCCCTGGGAAGTTCCTTTTCTTCTCTGACCCTCAGTCTGTGGAGCAGTGTGCATGGTTGTGGTGTGGGCAAATGAGGGAAACTCAAGCCCAGAGTGATTGCAGAGAGCTCCTAATACCAGCGAGCACACCCACACTTCTGCATCCAGCAGGGCCTTTGCAAGGCACTCCCACACCCACCATCCTGTTTCTCTGTCCCCTTGATCTCTGAAAGGTAAAGCATGACTATAAGCATTTTTCAGATGGAAAGACTGAGTCAGGGACAGGCAGTGATTGCCTGGACCCCACAGGAGAGCTGGGATTGGGGCCAGTGCCCGGGCCCCTGCTCCCTTCCCTTGCCTGCACCTTCTATCTTCAGGGCCCGGCCGCACTCTGACTGATACAAACACTTGGCCATGGGAACCTTTAGCCTGCCTGCCTGTGGCTGTCCCCAGGTGTCCCTGGCTGTCTCCTTTATTTGGGGACGTTGTGTTCTTAAGCTGGTGAGCAAGCTGGATGTCAATAAACAAGCTGATTTCCTCTGGTGCTTTTGTCATTCCCCAGGGACCTGTAGTTTCTGTGGCTGCCTCTCCCCACCCCTAGAGCATCATGAGTGTTAAGCGTCTCCACTCCTCGCCACTGCTCCTCCCTCACCCGCAGGTCAGGTGGAAGGCAGGCTGGAAATGAAAGCCCTAGTGCATAGAGGGAGCTTTCCATGGTACCTGCGGACACCTCTGTCTCCAGATGGACAATGTTGGGGTGGAATGGCAAAGGCTTCACCTGCTTGATTGCCAAGCCTCTCTTTCCCCCAAAGGCCCTGAAGTTGAGAATTTCTTCCGTCTCTGCCCTTCCCAGGAATCTTACTTCTCCACAGTGAAGATTATCTACACCATGGGCCATAGCATCTCTATTGTAGCCCTCTTCGTGGCCATCACCATCCTGGTTGCTCTCAGGTTTGCCATCCTCATCACCAGCTCAAGAACCTTCCTTGGCTCCCTATTTCTCAGAGGGCCAAGTCTGCTTCCTTGCCTGCATAGCCATGAACTTCCCAGATCTAGGCACCATACCCATGTCTAACTTTCCCTTCCCTTTTCCCCACCATGTAGACCCATCTCTTCCAACACCAGAACTCACTCCTATCTCTGCCCCTTTGCTTATGTGGCACTCATTCTATTTGCTTGGAATTCCTCATTTTTCTCAGTGTATTTATATCTGAGAAAGCCCGGCTTCTATCTGCATCTAACAGTCCTCTGCCTCCTGCCCGGAGCCCCTCTTGACTGTTACAACTCTCTGACCGTTGTCCCTTTTAAGACCCCACCCCCTCCTCTGGCCTTCAAAGTCTGAGCACGGCATCTGGCCTGTGCTGATCTTGGTCTCATGGGGATGAGTGTCTCTGATCATCCAGGGGGCTCCCATGTGTGGTACCTGCCATTTCTGCCTCTTTTCCCTGAGACTATGAGCACCCTCAAGGCAGGGACCAGATATTCCTCTGTTTCCACACTTACCCTGAGCACAGGAATGGTTGCTCAGCTGTCCTGCAAGGGTTAAACTGAAGCCTCAAGTTCAGCTCAATTCAATTCAGTTTGATTGCATCCAATTTGATTCGATTCACCTCCTGCCCTGCTCAGCCCAGTTGCAGCACACCAGAATCCCCTCCCCCACTTGCTTCTTGTTCCTCATTTCTCCCATTCCCCCCAGGAGGCTCCACTGCCCCCGGAACTACGTCCACACCCAGCTGTTCGCCACTTTTATCCTCAAGGCGGGTGCTGTGTTCCTGAAGGATGCTGCCCTTTTCCACAGCGACGACACTGACTACTGCAGCTTCTCTACTGTAATGGCCGTGGGTGAAGGGGCTGGGTGGGTAGGGGAGAGAGGAGGTGGGATTACAGACCCAGAAGTGCCTGCCCCAGCCTTTCCTGCCCTGTGGGCTGACCCTGGAGCTCCTGCATGGCCAATTACAGAACAGGAAAATGCTCCTCTCCCATGTCAGGCCCTAAGTTCTCACGCCTTTCCTGGACTGTGGTGTCGATCCATGTCATTTCCTATATTGCATGCTCTACTCCGCATTCTGTAGTCCAACCTAGACCACGTTTCACTATGCACAGCCTTTTCCTTTCCTTTCATCCTTCCCTGCGCACTCATTGGTCTGTGCTGGGGGTGTGTATGCAAGGGGCTGGGAGGAGCTGGGTCCCTCCTTCAGGAAGAGCCCATGGGGCAGAATGCACACAGATTAGGGGACTCCCAAGTGGAGGAAGCTGAGAGCTAGGAGAGAATGAGAGAGGGCTTCAGGGAGGAAGGGACCCTGGAGCTGTGTTGGCAGCAACGATAGCGAGATGGGGAAGGAGAACATTTCAAGAGGAGGGACCAGGGTGAACAAACTCGCAAAGACAGAAGGACCTAGGCCATGTGCAAGAAACTGGGAAGGCACCATGGGAGAGGTGGAGTGGAGACAATAAGAGGCAACTGAAATTAAAGGGAAGTTGGGCAGAATGTGGAGACCCAGCAACTGCTGGATTCTCTACAAGTGTGCTGGAAATGAACAGCGAAATCAGCGAGCAAACTAACACATGACCTCAATTAACTGATGAAAGAATTAATCATACTTCATACTGAGCACTTATTTTGTGCCAGGCATTGCACTAAGTGCTTTACATGTATAGTTATCCTTTGAACAACGTGGGGTTAGTGGTGTTGGTCCCCCTTTCAGTTGAAAATTCAAGTATAACTCTTGACTCCCCCAATCTTAACTGATTGCCTACTGTTGACCTGAAGCCTTACCAAAAACATAAATGACCGATTAACACATACTTATCTGTTACATGTGTTATATACTGTATTCTTACAATAAAGTAAGCTAGAGCAAAATTTTTAAGAAAATCATAAAGAAGGGAAAATAAATTTACTGTTTTTAAATGGAAGTGGATCATCACGGAGGTCTTCATCCTCATCGTCTTTATGTTGAGTAGTCTGAGGGGCAGGAGGAAGAGATGTTGGTCTTGCTGTCTTAAGGGTGACAGAGATGGAAGAAAATCTATGTGTAAATGGACTTCAGCAGTTCACACCTTTGTTGTTCAAGAATCAGCTGGCATTATCTCTTGAATTTTTAAAACAGCTTGAAGAAGAAAGCATCATTTTAATCCCATTTTGTAGAGGAGAGGCAATTGGCAAGGTCACCCAGTGGCACACAGGTGGGGCTGGGATCAAACCTGGGCCAACGGAACTCAGAGGTGGTCCTGCTCCCCCACTGGCAGGTGATCAAGTCATGCAGTGAGTGAGTGAATGCACGGGTGCCTGTGTATGTGTTTTTGCAAGACAGAACTGTGGCTGAATAAGTCAGCTCTAGGGATTGACTTCAGCTCAGGAAGGATGGGGGTAAGTGAAAATAGAAGCAAGTCTTAGGCAGTTTCCATTTAATCCTTATGACAAGGACTTGAGCTAGGTATTGGAAGTTTTTCCTTTTACAGATGAAAAGCTAAGGTGTGAGGAGATTTGCACAGGAAATAGATGGCAAATTAGAAGCCAGGCTGTCTAGATCCCAAATCTGTGCTCTTAACCCTCAGTGTATATCACCACATCTCCTCTCGGGTGGCCCAAGAAGCAGGAGATCCCAGCCTAAGGTGGAGGGGCCTGGAGGTTCTGTATCTGAGTGGAGTAGGGGAGACTGGGGTGGGGGCTCCAGTGGGTGTCCCAGCTCTGAAGCACCCAGGTCCCGGCCCCCAGGTTCTATGCAAGGTCTCTGTGGCCGCCTCTCATTTCGCCACCATGACCAACTTCAGCTGGCTGTTGGCAGAAGCTGTCTACCTGACCTGCCTCCTGGCCTCCACCTCCCCCAGCTCAAGGAGAGCCTTCTGGTGGCTGGTTCTCGCTGGCTGGGGTGAGCACTGAGGGCGGGTTGGGCACCATGGGGAGGTAAAGGGTTGGGAAGGCCCAGAGAGTTCACATAAAGGCCCCTCCACCTCACTCTGAGGCCCAGAGAAGCGGAGGGACAGGCCACAGTCCGGCAGCAAGTGTTGGAGGTGGCACCAGGGCCCTGGCTCTAGGGTCCTGTCCGGCCCTGCCTTTGCAGTGCCCTACCTGGCTGATGGTGGTGGGAGGTGGGGCCAGAGCTCAGAGCCAAAGATGCAGACCCCCTCGCTTGTGTCTCCCCTGTCCTCCCATAGGTCTGCCCGTGCTCTTCACTGGCACGTGGGTGGGCTGCAAACTGGCCTTCGAGGATGTTGCGTGAGTCGGAGCAGCCACCTCATCATACCGGCTGGGCCTACATGGGGTGTGGAGTGGACAGTCAGGCCACGGGCTGTTCTCCAGGCTGGGAAGAGGAGGAGGAGGGACTGCTCGGCTAAGTTGGGGGGTGGGAGAACAGTCTGTGGGTAGCACAGAAGAGGCATGAGCCTGGCAGGAGAGTGGAGCTCAGATTCCTAGGGCTGTGGGGCTGGGGGAAGGTGGGGCGAGGGAGCTGCCAGGGGGCTTCCTGGAGAAAGGGACGTGTTGGGGCCAGCAAGGAGGCCTTGAACAGGCAGAGTTCAGAAACGTTTGTCCATCTAGGTGGATACAAAGGGTGAGCCCAGCCTGGATGGGGGTGCCCCTTTGGGTGAGACCCTAACTGGCTGAGACAGGAGAAAAGGCTGGAGGGGAGGTGGGTGAGACCAGAAGGCATGAATACCCAAGAGAGGAGGGAGGTGCCTGCGTCACCACAGTAAAGGGGACTTTCCAACAATGGCATTCTTGCCTCTCTCCCCAGGTGCTGGGACCTGGACAACAGCTCCCCCTACTGGTGGATCATCAAAGGGCCCATCGTTCTCTCAGTCGGGGTCAGTCCCTGGGCCAGTGTCCTTCGCTTTATTCAGTCAACCTCCCTGGAACTACCGAGGGGCTGTGCACAGCAGGAAATGCAACTCCAGGCTGGGTGTCTTGAAGACTGGGCTCCAGCCTCGCTCTGCCACTGATTCTCTGTGAGGCCCTCTCGGGGCCTCAGTATCCTGTTAGTAAAACCAGAGGGGTGGTGGTCTCCATCAGCAGGCAGGCTGTTCCAGCTCAATTTTGATGAGTGTAATGCACTGGGTGCAGATCATTTACCATTGCAGTGAGAGACTGGGGGTGCGGGCAGGGGGCAGTAAATGGAGTCTGCAGCTAAACCCCTCTCCTCCCTCTGCTCTCACACACAACACAGAGGCAGTGAAGACTGCTTTGCATGGCTTTGGTAAATGTACAAATGTTTTGCAGCTTAGCAACTGTGCAAAGTGAGGGACATCTGCTTTGTGCCAGAGAAAAGCCTGGGAGGTGGCTGGAGGCAGGTGGCGAGGCCTGATGGCCCCCCTTGATCCCAGGACTGGAGAGGGACAGGAATCCTGGGTCCTTCTCTGTCCTCCAAGGCTCAAATGTGGGACCTCCCAGCTCCAGGTTACAAATTCTGGAGCAATGATCTGTGCATTCATTCACCTGCACATTCTCACGTCTCAAGGATTTAAATTTTCTAGTTCCCAAATGGGCTGGGGCTCACCCCAGCCACCCAAGGCTACCCCCTGACCCTTGTCTTCCACCTTCCTATGCCTCTATTTCCAGGTGAACTTTGGGCTTTTTCTCAATATTATCCGCATCCTGGTGAGGAAACTGGAGCCAGCTCAGGGCAGCCTCCATACCCAGTCTCAGTATTGGTACTGTGTGTTCATGTCTGGGGACACTGGGAAAGGGTAACTGGAGAGGGATTCGATGTGGTGGTTCTGTCTCTTCCAACAGGCATTCATGACCTCAGCCCCATACTCTTCCCTATGTACCCAGAGACAGAATAGACCTGGCCCCTTCCTTCTAGGGGATCACATTATTGGAAGGATGAGGACTCCAAACAGCCAGTTCCCATGCCAAATAGAACGATGAGTGCTGGGTCAATTTCTATGGGAGCCTGGGGAGAGGGATCCTTTCTAGGTGAAGGGTGGTGTGGTCAAGGAAGACTTCCTAGAGGAAGTGGTTTTGATCCACACTTTGAAAGATGCATAGACTTTGGGATAAACTGGGGCAAGAACAGTTGGCAGGGGAACCAGCAGGATCCAGGGCCCAGAAATAAAAAAAAAATGCCCAGGGTGATTGTGGGGAGGTGGCATTTCCCAAGGTGGCTGGTTCACAGAGTGGATATAGGGAGGTGGTAGGAAGTGAGAGGAGATGAAGTGCACATGACGGTTTCTAATCCCAGCCTTGGGAGCCTTGGATTTGTCTTTCCTGCAGGCGTCTCTCCAAGTCGACACTTTTCTTGATCCCACTCTTTGGAATTCACTACATCATCTTCAACTTCCTGCCAGACAATGCTGGCCTGGGCATCCGCCTCCCCCTGGAGCTGGGACTGGGTTCCTTCCAGGTGAGGCCTCTGCAGGCACTCTTTCTTTCAATTGGGGGTGCTGGAGGGAGGTGCTGTTGCCCACGGGCCTTGGCTGAGTTCATGACAGGGTGACGGCTATTCTTTTTCATCCATCTATTCAAATATCTGTCTGTCTGTCCATCTTCCAGCCACCCATCTATCTATGTATTCAACTACCCATGCATTCTTCCATCCATCCATCCATCCATCCATCCATCCATCCATCCATGCATCCATCCATGCATCCATCTACCCACCAACCCATCCATCCATCCATCCATCCATCCATCCATCCATCCATCCATCCATCCATCCATGCATCCATCCATGCATCCACCCACCCACCCACTCACCTACCCACCCACCCACCAATCCATCCATTCACCCACCCACCACCGATCCATCCATCCATCCATCCATCCATGCATCCATCCATGCATCCATCTACCCACCAACCCATCCATCCATCCATCCATCCATCCATCCATCCATCCATCCATCCATCCATCCATGCATCCACCCACCCACCCACTCACCTACCCACCCACCCACCAATCCATCCATCCACCCACCCACCACCGATCCATCCATCCATCCATCCATCCATCCATCCATGCATCCATCCATCCATCCAGCCAGCCAGCCAGCCAGCCAGCCAGCCAATCTATTCGACTCTTACTGATCCCCTATTATGTGCCAAGTGTTGTGCTCATTCACAAGGGATGCAGAAATAAAGTCAGAGGAATGGGGCCAACAGTACAGCCCTGGCAGGCTTGCTACAACAATTCTATGAGACAATATGCCTGGCACATAGTAAGGAATGAATGCATCTAAATTCCCCTTTCAATCGGACCTGGCCCAAGCCATAGCCTGGGGATGAGTAGGGAAAAGGTAGCAGAAAGACTGTGGACACCTTCAGGCCAGGCCAAAGTGTTCTGATGGGGTCTTTCTTCTTTGCCCCACAGGGCTTCATCGTGGCCATCCTCTACTGCTTCCTCAACCAAGAGGTGTGTGACTTTTGAGGCTATCCCTCATGGAGTCCCCCTCCCACCAGACCTAAGGCCTCCCCTCCTCTCTCCCACTCAGGTCCTGTAAACCCCAGCTCAGGCCACACCTTGACTCCTGTGAGCCTTTGTGGTAGTCTGTCCTGAGCTGCTGGATCAAGCTGAACCGGAATATTTCCTGTAAACATCTCTTATCTATCCTTCCTCTGAGCTGGGCCAAGTTCTACTAGCTACTCTTCGGGAGGTGGAGGCCTTTCAGGGATCAGGAGAAGGATTAGGGTAGGGAGTCAGAAGGAATCCCCCAGTTATGTGTTCCTAAAATTGAACAAAAGGGAGAGTTGTTCAATTTCAGCTGAGGGAGAGACAATCAGAGAGAACAGATAGAGGAACCAAGAAAGTCAGAGGTAAACATACAGGGAACTAGGAAAATAATCAGATGCAGAGACAAAGAGGAAGATCCGGAGCCCGAGAAACAGAGAGCACCTAAAGGAAACAGACACACAAAGAGAGTGGATGGAAGGGGAGATAGGCGTGAAAAGACAGAACAGATGGTGCTGCTGCACATGTGGAAACGTGGGGACATGGCAGAGACTGACGCAAAGTGAATTCCACCCAGGAGACACTGAATTTCCCCCTTAGGACAGTCCTGCTCTGGGGAGAGAGGCGGGGGAGAATTGATCTCAATGCCCCAGACTCCCAAGTTCCACCTTCGTGCACCTGCAGGGCCATGGGCTCCCTCTGCTGGCCATGGATTTGCCAGGGGCTCTGCATTCTGTGAGAGTTGGCTGCAGATGCCCTGTCCCCTTCGCTGTGGAGTGTTGCTCCCATCTCATCTGCCACCTCTGTCCCTTACTGCTCCTTCCCCTCTCCCTCTCTTTACTCCTCACCTGGCCTCTCTAAGTCCCATTCAGCCTTATCTGGTGTCTGGGTGTAGCAGACCATGGGCCCTGGGGGTCCTGGGAGGGGCAAGAAGCAGCCCAGGTGGAGGCTGGTGGGGTGTGGAAAAAGTGTTTCCACAAAGAGTTGTGAAGGGAGCTGTCTCGGGAAGCGGTGTTGGAGACCAGGTGGTTACATACCTCTGGTGACGGGGAGCTTACTACCTCCCAATAGCTCTTTCTGTTGTCAGGCAGCTATGGGAAAGATTATCTTTATGTTGAACAGGTATCTGATTCCTTTTATCTTTCATCACAACCCCAGTTCGGCTCCACTGCTTGAGGCACATTCTCTCAGCACCCTATGCCCCTGAAAGCCCCTTGGAGATGGAAAGATACAGACAGCACCCCCACCCCCCAATCCCACCCTTCCACCTCACCCCAGGCTACTTTTCTTTTAGTGACTTTCAGTTCCCTCAGCTGCAACCCCTCAGATAGAGTTCTGAATCCTCTCTCCCTTCAGATCATGTCCTCTGGACAGATTTCCAGCGGCCAGAGTTGAGCTCACAAAATTGAGCCCCAGAGCAAGGAGTGGTCTAAGTGATTAAGAGAGAACGGGGTGGTTATTTGACCAGGAACTCAAGAAAGCACCTATACATGTCTTTAGCTGGGCTCAGACAAAGGCAGGGCTAAAAGGCAGAGAAAGGTGCTAAAAGAATGGTGAGAAATACCACAGGAAGGAGGAAGTAGTATCCTCCAGAGGTAGTACTTAGTAGTGCCTGTGCCCAAGCATGACTTTTCCTGCCCCATGTCTCTGTTTCTCTTACACGGCCTCTCCCTGCACCTTAGTCTCATTGGGGTTGAGTAGCAAAGCCACAGGGGGACCTTCCTAACAGCCTCTTCCTTGTCCCTGGAGGTGAGGACTGAGATCTCACGGAAGTGGCATGGCCATGACCCTGAGCTTCTGCCAGCCTGGAGGACCCGTGCTAAGTGGACCACGCCTTCCCGCTCGGCGGCAAAGGTGCTGACATCTATGTGCTAAGCTGCCTCATCATGCCACTGGAGTCCACACTTGAACTTGGGCAGCTACCATGGGTCTGCCATGCTCTGGCAGAGCAAGGGGGCCATATCCCCACCCCAGCTGTTACCCAGCCTGGGGTAGGGGCGGCCCTTCCTCCCTGTCTCTGCATCTGACTCTCTTTTGAGGTTCCTGTATGTTTACTTCTGACTTCTGTGGTCCCTCTGTGTCTGTTCTCATCCATTCCTTTTCCTGGGGCCTGGGGCTCTAGCCCAAGCCTCAGAGGAGCCAATAAACCTGTAAATGAATAGACATATGTTTGAGTGAGTAAATGGGCCTCTAAAGGGGAGTGCACCTGCGTTCTTTATTTGGATGTCTGGTGCTGAGCTGTGTTCATCATTCCTCAGTTCATGCTACATGATGATTATGTATCTGTGCAAGGGGCCTCTTGTTTTATTTATTCTTAAAATGTACTCTCTTTTGTCTTCACCACTCCCATTCGCCTCCTCTCACAGGCAAACAAGCGAGCATGCTTAATGTGAATACTTGTGTTTCTGTGTGTCTTGCAAAACGTGGTGTTTTGTGTGTCTGTACTTTAATTTACATAAATGCTGTTGGTCATATGCCTCATCCTGCTTCTAACGTTTCCCCCTCAGCACTGTGCTTTTAAGAGATGCTCCCAGGGCTGGGTGCAGTGGCTCATGCCTGTAATCCCAGCACTTTGTGAGGCTGAGGAGGGCAGATCACCTGAGGTCAGGAGTTCGAGACCAGCATGGCCAACATAGCAAAACACTGTCTCTACTAAAAATGCAAAAAATTAGCTGGGTGTGGTGATGGGTGCCTGTAGTCCCAGCTACTTGGGAGGCTGAGGCAGGATAATCACTTGAACCCAGAAGACAGAGGTTGCAGTGAGCCGAGATCATGCCCTTGCACTCTAGCCTGGGTGACAAGAGTGAAACTCCATCTTAAAAAAAAAAAAAGAAAGAAAGAAAAAAGAAAAAAAAGGAAAAAAAAAAAAAAAGAGACGCTCCCGTGTTTCCCTGCGTACATCTGGTCTGTTGTTTCGGCTGTATGTGGTGCTGTGTAGAGTCATTGCCCATGGGTTACTGTCCTGTCCTGTCTCCCCTGCACTCTAGTGAACATGCACATGCTGGTCCCCTCCAGGATCTGTGAGAGTGAGCCTCTGTCCGGGACTCACACCCAGGAGGAGCAGTGCTGGGCATCCATTATGCCTCCTGTTGATGTGATTCAGTGGTGCCAGATTGCATGCTTCATATCTGCACTCCACCAGCAGCTCTTGAGGTCCCTAAGTCCCACAGCCCCACCAACACTTGGCATTACCCAGCTTTGTAATGTTCACCAGCCAAATGGGTGTAAAGTGCCACGGCACTGTTGTCCTAATTTGCATCTCCCTGATATCTAATGGGTGTAAATATCTCTTACTGTATCCGCTTGCCTTTTGGGTTTCTTCTTCTGGAAATTGCTTGAGACTCTTTCCCTATTTTGCTCTGGAGTGGAGATGCCTCAACTCCAGGTCTTTCTCTTATGTCCTCCCCATTGCGTGCCCTCCTGGGTCCCAGCGTACTGCCTGCTGCCCCCCACCAAAGTGAGGACTCCCTTAATGTAACACATCTATAGAGTCTGTCCCTCCTCCAACCTCCTTCTTGGTAGCAGGGAGGAGAAGGAGACCCGGGCTGTGTCCATGGGGATCTGTTTATTGACTGACAGTGGTAGAGGGAGATTCCAGTACAGAGAACAGGCAGAAATGGACACTGTCAGGTCAGAATGAAACCTCTCCCTTCCTGGTCTACCCACAACAGACCTGTCCTGCAGACCTCAGTTCCATTTCCCCCACTTCCAGGCAGCCTTCCCTTACTACACTAGCCTTTCTGGCCATTCCTCCTTTCTCCGACTACCCTGAGAGTCCAAACCATCCCCTCCAGCCTCTGCCTACTTGGGCTGATCACCAGGTGCCATTTGCCTTGTCCCGGTCCTTGCCTGGGCGCCTCCCTTCTCTGTGATCCCCTGCATGGTGGCCCTCTCCTCTGCACAGAGGATCTAGCTTGTCCTCTACGGCCTGCCTGGACCAGGTATGTTTTCTCATGCACTGGGAACAGAAGGAGTAGGCATCCTTTACCCGTGCTGGCTCACAAGTGTGTATCTGGTGGAGGCAGTGGACGGACATCCTCCTCCCTTACAGTCGTGAGAGTTCCAGGGAATGGAGACACAGCTACACGAAGCCCAAGGCCACACTGTTGCCCATGACGCCCAGCTGCCTGGCACCTTCCTGGACAGACAAATGTCAAAGTGCGGGCCCAGTCTGAAAACCAATCATATTCAGTGTCAAATCATAAAAGTAATTCATACTCATTGCAGGCATTTAGGAGATACAGAAGGATTAAAAAAAAAATCAATCATAATCTTATTACCAAGACATTCTTTTGGTACATTTTGTATGTTTCCAGAAAGATTTTTTTTGTGTGTTTTGGAAACATCTAGAGATCATATTATATTTGTAAAATTGCATATGATTTTTATGCATTAAAACAATATATATTATATATAGATGGCCAACAAGCACATGAAAAGATGTTCAATATCATTAGTCATTAGGAAAATGTAAATCAAAACCACAATGCAATATTGTTTCATGTCCATGAGGATGGCTAAAAAGAAAACAAAATAGCCAATAACAAATATTGGCAAGAATGTATAGAAATTGGAACCCTCATGTATTGCTGGTGGGACCAGAGAATTGTCAGGTGCTTTGGTAAAAAGTTGCACAGTTGCTCACAAAGTCAAACACTGAATTATTCAGAAAATCCACTCCAAGGTGTATAGGCAAGGGAATTGAAAATGTATGCCTACACAAAACTTGTACATGAATATTCATAACATCATTATTCATAGTAGCCAAGAAGTAGAAACAACCTAAACATCCATCAACTTATGAATGAATTAACAAAATGTGGAATATCCATATGATGGGATGTTAGCTCCATTTTTTCTGTTTGAGGTAATGAAAAGTTCTAAAATTAGATAGTGGTGATGGTTGCAAACTCTGGGAATACACGAAAACCACTGAATCATACACTTTTTAAAAAGGGTGAATGTTATAGTATGTGAATTATATCTCAATAAAACAGTTATTAAAAATGAGTAAATGGGAGTTTGCTGGAGAACACTTGCAGACAATTTTTCTGCTACATAATTTGAAAAGTCTATATAATATTATTTATTTAACCAATAGTTATTTAGCAGGTATTATATTGGTGAAATTTTCTCTCGATTTAAAAAATAAGTATTTGTGATGATAAACTTCCTTGCATACATTTTTTTTCACATATATCTCAAAAACACAAAAACTTAAACTCCTAGACCTTCAGAATAAATTCTCCTAAATTGGAAGAATGTTTGAACCAATGCAATGCACGTAAGTCTCTTAGTACCTGTTGCCAAATTGCCTCCCAGAAAATTGGTCTAGAGAATTCTCGCACAAACAATATAAATGTTATGGTTTTTCTGCATTGTTATTATTTTCTGAGACAGGGTCTCAATTGTAGGCCAGGCTGGAGTGCAGTAAAGCGATCGCAGCTCACCACTGCCTCAACCTTCTGGGCTCAAGTGATCCTCCCGCCTCAGCCTTCCCAAGTAGCTGAAACAACAGGCATGCACCACCATACTGGCTAATTTTAAGATGTTTTTGTAGAGACAGGGTCTCAGTATATTGCCCAATCTGGTCTCAAATTCCTGGGGCTCAAGCAATCTTCCTGCCTTGGTCTCCCAAGTGCTGGAATTACAGGCATGAGCCACTGTGCCTGGCTGGCATAAGCTTTTGTCTTGTCATGTGCATTGCATTGGTTCAAACATTCTTCCACGTTAGGAGAATTTATTCTGAAGGTCTAGGAGTTTAAATTTTTGTCTTTTTGAGGTATATGTGAAAAAAAAATGTATGAAAGGAAGTTTGTTTCTCTGAGTTTTAACTGGTGTTAGTAGTGTTAGTAATGGTGTTAGCATAGTGGTGATAGTAGTTAGTGTTAGTTAGCTTGGTCAGTGCTCTTTAATATTAGTTGTGATTAATTTTAGTGGTTAGCAATTGGTAGAGTTAGTGGTTAGCATTAGTTAATGTCAGTTGGTGGTTAGTGTTGGTGATTAGTTACCAGTTAGTTTAGCAGTTAGCTGTTAGTGTTAATGCTATTTAATGGTTAGTGTTACTGGTTAGTTAGCAGGTAGTGGTTAGTGGTAGTGGCTAGTTAGCAGTTAGTGTTAGTATTAGCGGTTCATTAGTGGTTAGTATTAGTGGCTTGTTAGGAGTTAGTGTTAGCAGTTAGATGTCAGTGCTAGTTAGCTAAAGTTTAGTGGTCAGTGTTACTGGTTAGTTAGCAGGTAGTGGTTAGTGGTAGTTAGTGGCCAGTGGTTAGTGTGTTAGTTGTTCATTAGTGATGTTAGTGGTTAGTAGTGAGTGGTTAGCATTAGTCAATGTTAGTGGTTAGTGTTAGTGATTAGTTACCAGTTAGTTTAGCAGCTAGCTGTTAGTGTTTTTAATGTTACTTAGTGGTTAGTGTTACTGGTTAGTTAGGAGTTAGTGGTAGTTAGTGCGTAGTTAGTGTTGGTGGTTCATTAGTGATTAGTGTTAGTGGTTGGTTAGCAGTGAGTAGTTAGCGTTAATGTTAGTTGGTGGTTAGTTAGCCATTAGTGTTAGCAGTGAGTGTACGGTATTGGCAGTGGGCAGAAGCAGCTCACTCTGTGAACTGTCCATCCCTCGCCTAGAGGTTTCACAATGACTGCCACGTTCACCACTTGTTCCCTTTTAGTTTCAACTGGAGCCTCAAATTCCTATCACTTCTCTTGTCTCTTCCATGACAGGGATTCGCAGACTGGGCCTACGATGCAGGTTCCTGGGCAGATCCTTTGACTGGCAAGCTCTTCCTCATCTGAACCGGGGTTGGGGGCGGGGCGGCGGGGTTGCTCAGGAGGTGATATCTGAGGGACACTGGGTGGCGGGCAATGAGCTGGGCTGAGAAGCGCAATGAACATTCTGGCCACCAGGTGGCAGTCTAACTGCAGCCAAGAACCCTGGCTGGGCCCGCGGTGCTGCCTGCCAGAGCTGGTGCTGGAGATGGACGCAGGGCCCCCGCGGCCTGACTAGGGCCCAGCAAGAAGAACGGGCTGGTGGAGAAAGGGCTGCTGGTCTGGACAGCCTAGGTGAGGAGGGAGGGTCCTGGCTGGAGTGTGGAGGAAAAGGACATCCCTGCGCACCCCGCCCCCTGCCCCAGACCCCAGTGCTGATGACTAAGAAGCAGATTAAGAAG